TGGGAATGAGGTTGCCATGACACTTTGCCAGTTGGGTGCCCTTGGGCAAGTCACTTAACTACTTTGCGCCTCATCTCATCTGTAGAGTGGGAATTCTGTCGCTCTTACAGGGCTGGGGTGCAGACACAGGTGGTATGTACAAGGCTGTTAGTTAAATCAGTGGGGGGCTGTGTTCTCTCAAGTCCCCTCAGGTGCTGAGCTCATGGGACTGTCCCCACCAGGACACTGCCTGGTGCGGCCTCTGCCCTCGGCTTTCTTGAGAGGCTGGGAAAAGGGGCTGACCCCCTTTTGCCCTGTGACCCTGGAGAATGAGCTCCAGAGGGACGCTGTCAGTATCCCCATTTGTGCTCTGGGAGGCCACGTGGCCACGTTCTCTGAAGTCACAGTATTAGAGTCAGGACAGCCTTGGTTTCAAACCCCTCTCCTTTTCCCCGCACACTCACAGTGCATTAAAGCTTCTGAAATGAGGTCAGGGTGTGTCTGCCCCAGGTGGGGACCCAGGGACACTCCACCCCACTGGCCCAGCTCCAGCCTCGTCACCTTCCTTCCCCACACCCACAGTTTCCTCCGATGTCTCTAAGAAGACAACATGGGCCTGGGTAGGGCCGGTGCTCTGCAGCTGGGGGTCCCAGTGTGGCTGGATTCCCAGTGGGAACCATCCTCCTGTCCCCTGGGCATCTACAGGGAAATCTGGGCCCCTGTTCCAGGCTCAGCCTGTCACCCAGAAAGCAATTAGAGGTATAACGAAAATATCTCCCAGTTCGCTCTGCCCCTAGATGGGCTCATTAGAGCTAATGAGGGAGGTGGCTAGAACTGCGGAGGGGAGAGGGAGGTAGGGCTGGAACACAGCGGCCACCCAGTGGGGTGATGGGGTCCTGGGGGCTGCAGTCTAGTTCAGGGTACCCACTGGGGAGAGGGAGGCACTGTTGCGGTAAGGCCCAAGCAGATGCGGGCCAGAGGGACCTGAGTGGGGTCTGCTCCTCCCAGACATGTATAAACCTCCCG